AGCAGGTTACGTGGCGGTTGGAAGGAACAACAGCTAGGTAGTAGGCAGAGGGAAGGTAGGCGGAGGGGAAAAAAATGTCAAAAGAGGTTGTTTTCCTTGAAATGCTACAACAAATACGTTGGTAAATGCAATGGAGGAAAGGTTGCAGATGATAGGAAGGTCGAAGATAATCACCATCTCAGCACAAGATATCCACTCACATTTGGATACAACCCTATAAGGAAATACACGGGATGCTGACAGCTGTCCCGATAGAAAACATATGCCAAAACTGAAAACTTAAAACACAGTGAAACGGGTGCTTGGATTAGCGCCTGAAATCGGGTGCAGAACAGCGCCCCGGAGAGGCCGCCTCGAAACAGCCGGGTCGAAGCCTCGTAAAACCACACGAAGCAAAGCAAGGAACTGTGGCTTTGCAAAGGCCGGAGAACCCGCAACAAAGAGGAAAATCACGAATTATCGCGTTCCAGATAGGCTATTCGCACTAGAGTTTTTCTGGAAAGTGATTTTTGGATTCTTCTTGGCGTCCCACCTATCCCTTTTGTGTAGATGTTTCTCCTGAGCCTATAAATTGTTGTCCTTGTGTATGTGGAAGTCAGATTTGAGTTGTGTTTGAGTTTAGCTTCAGATTTCTTGTGTGAAGTCTCATTCCTCTTTTTGGGGTTGTATCCGAGGAGGTGGTCGTGCTCTAACTGTATCCTCTCTGAGATGATGATTGTATCCCCCCTTTCTACTCTTCTAAACCTTCTTCTCTCAACCCCTCTACTGTCGAACTCTCCCACCATCACCCGACACCCAACCATTCCCTCTTCCTGCAAGTTATCATTACTGTGTCCCATCAACCTAACTTCTTTGAAGCTCCTCGCAACCACCCCACTACTGTTGTTGACCACCTACAACCCTTCCCACTTATTGTTCATATAGTTTTGCACCTTACCATCGCTACCGCCCGCCTTCCATAATTGTCGTCATCCCTCCTAATCATTCATATTCCTCTAGTCGACCTCCACCACCCATTGAGTTACATTTAGGAGTGTGGTTTGTGTCGTCTAATGTCTTGTGTTGTTATTTCCGTTTCAGTCATGTTATAATCCTATTTCAATATTAATGAAAGTTTGTTTTTTTGTATTTCCACTATTTTTCCTACTAGTTCGGGTATCATTTGGTATCGAAACTAGTCCAACCCTAATCTTATCCTAGGATTTCCAAGCATCCACCCCTACCCAAACCACCTCCACCCAAATTTTCTTCTAATTCCAACCCTACTCATGCCACCGCAAAGAGGTATATTGGACTCAACCCGGGAAGAGATTCAACGAGAAATTCATCGTCTAGAATGGAGACTAGCAAAGCTGGATGACGAAAGTAGAGAACAGGTTACCTTCGTTCGTGATCGAGAGAGTCAAAGAGAAGACAATGACGAGAAATGAATCCGTTCCACAAGGAAGATCACAGTAACAAGGAATATCAACCACACTGTTTTGGTATCCAATATCAAAGGAGGCTGAGAGAAGAGGCTCATTGTGCATGTCAACAAGACTTTGGCATCATGATGGACCTCCCAAAGTTCGAGGGAAGCATGGACCCCGATGAGTTTATTGACTGGAACAAATTCTCGACTATAAAGATTTACCATAAGACAAACGGGTCAAACTACCCACTATTAAGTTGAACAAAAGCGCTTCCCTATGGTGGGAAAATATGAAAAGGCAGAAGAAAAGGGAAGGCAGTTGGGAGAAGATGAAGAAGTTAATGCAAAAAAAGTACCTCCCACCCCACTATTGCCAGGATATACTTTTGAAGCTCCACAACTTGCAGCAGAGAAAACCTTCAGTTGAGGAATTCACAGCTTAATTCAACCACTTGCAACTGAAATGTGAACTAACGGCCAGAGGAACATACGATAGTCAAATATCTCGGAGGTCTGAAACTCACCATCAGCAATGTGGTACAGTTACAACTATACTGGACGCTAGGGGATGTCCAAACATTAGCCTTGAAGAAGGAAAGACAACAAAGGCAGAGTCGACAACAATCATCTTTCAAGCAACAACCTTCAGGTAGGCTGTCACCTACAATTACTACAACCGGCAGAGATCTCTCAGGAAACACAGGCAAGCCCGGACAGGGGAATGACACTATGGATCATAGCGGGAAGAAACTGGAAAAGGGAAAATCCTCCAGCACGTCGTCGACTAGGAAGTGCTACCGATGTCATAGCTACAATCACATTGCCTCCAGCTGCCCACGAGCATGGTAGTCACATTCGCAGTTCAAGGCGTCGTAGAAGAACTTAGCAATGAAGAGAAAGTCGAGGAACAGGGTGAGGAGTATTAGCTTCCCCTATAAGAAGGAGAGGCGCTCGTGATTCGACGAATCCTACAAACCAAGGACACGAGAGATCCGCAGTGGCTTTGCCACAACATATTCTACACTGACTGCACAATGAATGGAAATGTATGCAGTCTCATCATCAACGACGGAAGCAGCAAGAATGTGGCGTCAGTACAGATGGTAAAGAAATTAGGACTCGCAACTTAGAGACATTCCAAGCAATATTTACTGGCGTGGCTGAAGAAGGAGAATCAAGTTAGCATCGACCAAAGTTGCTTGGTAGAATTTTAGATCGGAGACCAACTATAAGACCAGATGTGGTGTGACATGGTCCCTATGGATGTCTGTCATTCTTTGTTGGGAGAGCCTTGGCAATATTACCGAAGGAATCAGCACGACGGATATAAAAACACATATTCATTCACCAAGAACGGGAAGCGCATCACCCTCCTTCCCTCAACAGATTCTGAGGTCACAGAATCCCTTTTAAGCAAGACAACGTCAGTAGAACCAATTTTAGTAATGACACCAGACAAGGGGACTGAGACACCAGCCCCCGATACTGTACAAAACAGTCGAGATTATATCAAGACAACGTCGTACCAGCAAAACCACCGTCGTGTGAAAGGGTCAAATTGCTCTCACTGCACGCTCGTTTGAACCGATCATGGGATACTTTTGGAAGTTTCATCAGTATAGGCGTGGTCTACAGCCCCAGAAGGACAGATCGATATGGACATCTACTCGGAAGCTGGGGAAGACCCTCAAATACCTCGAGCAACAGTGCAGTCGCCAGTGAGATCCAGGTTGCTGAAAACAAAACAGAAGCTTTGACCAACAAAGTTGAAGCTCTCCCAACCCCATGAAATTGACGTTGGCGCTTGGATTAGCGCCTGAAATCGGGCACAAAACAACGTCGCGGAGGAGGGTGAGGGTGCTTCGAAACAGAGGGGTCGAAGCCACGCAAAACAGCGTGAAGCGAAGCGGGGACCTGCGGCTTCGCAAAGGCAGAAGAACCCACGACAAGGAGGGGAATCACGAATTCTCACGATCCAGCTAGACTATTCGCATAAGATTTTCGTTGGAAAGTGATTTATGAATTCTTCTTGACTTCCCACCCATCCCAATTGTGCAGATGTTTCTCTTGAGCTTATAAATTGCTGTCCTTGTGTATGTGGGAGTCAAATTTGAGTTGTATTTAAGTGTAGCTTTAGATTTCCTGCGAGGAGTCTCTTCTCCTTTTTGGGGTTGTATCCGAAGAGGTGGTGATTGTGCTCCGGTTGTATCCTCTCCGAGGTGGTGATTGTATCCCCCCTTTCTATCCTTCCAAACCTTCTCATCTTCGCTCCTCTACCGCCGAAACCTAACCATTCCCCCTTTATGTAGGTTATTACTATTGTCCCGCCTTCCTAAATCCTTCAAACTCCTCCCAACCACCCCACTGCCGTTGCCGACCACCTATAACCCTTCCCACATATTGTTCCTATAGTTCCACACCTTCACTTCACTACCACCCGCCTTCCGTAACTGTTGTCATCCCTCCTAATCATTTCTATTCCTCCAATCAACCTCCACCACCCATTGGGTTACATTTAGGAGTGTTGTTTGTGTCGTCTTATGTCTTGTGTTGTTATTTCCGTTTCAGTCACATTGTAATTCTATTTCAACATTAATGAAAGTTTGCTTTTGTATAGCCCTAGATAAATAGGGATAGGCCCATCAGTTGAAAGGAGACGTTAAATCCCCGTGGAAGAGCCGATCAGCTATCCCATTTCTGGACCGGTCAGTCCAGGCATATGGAATGCGAGAGAAACGTGCCCTCACACCCGCATCATGATAGTTACTAATTATTAGTGTAAGAAGATCAAATGATACATGACTGTGACTAACTTTAGTGCTTTAGATGAGCCATATGAAAAACTAATGATATGATGAGGAAAAAATCCTAAAAAAGTTAGAATTATGCTGTTAAAATGAAGGACCTCACAAGTACCAACAAGTAGATTTTGAAGTGGATAAAATTAAACTTTTAAAATGACTGAGAAATGATTTAAGTGTTAAACAACAAAGAATTCATTAATAATCAAGTTAAATGTGATAAAGAATAAGAATATTAAGAAAATATCATAAAACTAGAAATGAAAAAGAGACATGACCATAGCAAGGTAATGCTCGGTAACAATTATTGAGGATTAGGAAGTGAAAAATTGATTTGAGTAATTAAGAAATGAATAACATAGAACAAAAGCACACCGAAGATGAGTAGATTGTAGTGACAAGTGTAAAGAAAAGGAATGTGCTAGAATAACAAGGGGAGATGTCAAGCTTGTGCTTAATAGAGTTAGCAACACAAATCACACATAACAAGAACAAATAGTGAACACAAAGCAGATCCCAACTAGTTGGCATAAGGGTTCTATAGTTCACACTTTTCTGATTTGATAACTTACCCACCCAAAACGGCTTATCTTTCCAGATCTTTAACCCAATTTGGTAAACTGTAGACCATAACTCAAATTCTTCATTCCGCTATAACTATGAACTTACTAGCAAGCATGTCGTTCTATAACAACGGTAAAATGTATTCTTTCTTCCCATAACGAAGGCGTAAAAATAAATTAACTACATACTACATTCATAGCTGTAACCTGCAAGAAAATACCCACATTCATTATGGACACAAAATGCTCCAACATTTTGTGGCTGATATTTTCTATAAAACAACGTGTCAACCGGCATGCAGATACAAGTGCCTTCATTTCAAATGTAAATGAACCTGGAAAATCATAACAGAAATTGTTTCAGGCAGCAAGCTAAAGACAATAGGAAAATGTAAGCGTTTGTCCAGCAAGAATTATTTTTTCTGCATTGAAAGAAAAGGAAAAAACCATGATAAATTTCCTTTTCTACTAAAGAGTAAAGGTTGCAGTTATGTATGTGGCATAACATGAGAAACGTACTTGAGGGCAAGTTCTTCAAAGCATTGCGTATGCGGTTTCGGGCAAACAACATGCTTTGGTTTGTTGGATCTTCCACCCATATTTGTTTACTGCCTTGACATATCTGCCAAAAAACATCGGAAAACAGCTATAGTGAAACTCACAGCAGCACTGAAATTAAGAAAATAAGAAAATTATATGATACGACATTAAGAAAGCAATTAAAATTAGGGGAAAATTCTACAATGGTCCCACAACGATTCGTATGTGGCCAATTTAGTCTCAAATTATCACATTTTTTTTCAAAATAATCCCTCAAATATATAAAATTGAACTAAAATAGTGCATCGGAGACTAAATTGGGATCAAATTTTTATTATAATTTTTACTTGATGAACCATTTTGAATCAAGTTTTTATAATTGAAAGACTAATTTGGGGAATGTGATACTTTGAGACTAAATTGGACTCATACAATTAGTCTCAGGACTTTTTTGAGATTTAATATAATAACATGATAATAGGTGGACAAGTGCTCATTCCAACAAGCATTATGATGGAAGCTACATATTTCTTAACTTAAAATTTTCTATATATTCGTCACAACTTGGAATTTATTTGTAAATAGTTGATTGCAATTGCTAGTTTATTTTATGTAATTTAAATTTATTGTTGATTTCTTTTTATTTATTCAATAACTACATCGTCATTTTAGTTCTGATTCTAGTTCTGATTCTAGTATTTATTATTTACGTTTAATGGAGTTAGTAACTTATTTAGGGGATTGTAATTTGTGAAGACTAATTCTTTTAAGAAAACGATTTACATCCATTGTATCATTATAGTGGCATTATAAAGCACTAACCATAAACCATCCTATTTTGCGTTAATACTAGAGCACTATGTTTTCCTATGTCACTCAAAACCAATGTTAATTATTAGGGTAACTTAATAGATCATTAAAAAAAAGGGATTTGTTCAATGTACAACAACTTTTAATTGAGTTACTAAATTAATAAATTTAAATTTATAATAACATTAACTTGGTTAAAAAAATAACTGATAATTTTTAATTCAATCAAGTTCAAGCTAGTGAACATAAAGAGCATTTTATAATAATGTTGAGCCAATCCATTTGAATATCGTTAGCACAATTATAAGAAAGAAATAATTAAGATAAACAATTTAAAGTATTCAAAAATAATATTTATAAAAATCCTAAATTATAATTCAAAGTTCAAATTTTGATGTCCATGATGTGATAACAAGAAAAATAAACGACAAAAAACTAAAAAAAATTTTAAAAAACAAAGAAATTAGAAGTTGAAAGGTCTACTTATGATGATAGAGTTGATCATAAAATGTTTACTGAATGGATACTAGATCTAAATAACTTTTTTGAATGGCAAAGAACGCCTATTGAATGACAAATAAGGTTTGCAAATATTAATTAACTAAACAAGCTATAAGAAATTGAATGAGCATAAAAAAATAAAAGAAAAAAAATATAAAGAAGGGAACCCAGTATAGCTTGAGTTGAAATGAAATAACTTCTAAAAGAAAAATATGTCTATCATATCACGATTTTGATAAATTTAACTTCTTAACACGCTCACCAAAATCGATATTGAATACATAAATAAATTAAAAGAATAGTCATTGTGCGTTGATATCAGTGAAAACCCTAAAACAACACCATCTAAATTTAGATCAAGATAGAGATAACAACTCACCACTTTGCTTTTCAACTTATGTATAAGCGAACTACTTACATAATTTGGTAATGCCCCATTTTGAATTAGCAATAATCTGTTGCATACAATACATCCAAGGGCAGTAGTAACATCATCCTCACTAAGAATTATAATGAAAAATCATTTGCATCTACATCTAATCTAAAACTTTTCTGAAGGCATGCTTTAAGCATTATCAAATTCATATATGCCAATGAGTCTCACAAGAAAAACAACATCGTAAGCATCTAGTCTAACATTCTTTTAAGGAATGCTTTAAGGGTCATCAATCTAGTTAATATGCTAGTGAATAACATAGTAGGAACTTGCATATAAATGTAGATGAAAATAATGAGAGCAATGATTATGATCATATTCATGAATTAGATAAACATATTAGTGATTTGACGATGCTTCAGTTCATAATTCTTTGAATGTGCCACTCATACAATTGAAACTCATTAGAAAACAGCTCAAAAATATTTTAAATATAATGAAGAAACTGTAAAAATTTATAATTGTTAATGAAAGTTTTATTGATATCATGTCTAAGTCTACTTTAGACTGGATGAATTTGAAGCCTAAAAAAGATTTACAATATATAAAGTAGCATTGATAGATATAACTATAGTTTTTTGCCTTAAAGATGCTTAGTTTTTATTCAATTAGTTATGCATACTGTAAAATCTGATCTGAAGCGCGTTCTATGGACTTCACTCACATTATTTTGGATAAAAATTGGTGTTAGTTTAGAAGTTAGCCACTTAGGGAATATAATTCACCCTCTAAAGTAAAAGTCATTGCATATTCTACGTCAACACACATCGAGAAAGGAAGTAGGTAAGAGGGAACGATATATGCCTATGCAGCTGTTGTGCTTGAGGTTGAGAATTTGCATGATATTAAATAATTGTCAACTGATATTAAAAATAACTTTTGGCTACTCGACGGCTGTTGGAGAGGCCCCGACGGCCAAGAGGAGAGCTAGAGCTTGTTTCCTTGCTCTGATACTTATAAATATTTGGAAGGAATAAACTCTCTAATTTTACATAAAGCAAATAACAAATATATACACAGCTTGGACTAACCCCATATAATTGGAGGGAAAATCAAATCATCATGATAAAAAGGAAAGAAATAAACACAAAAATGGATAGTTAAAAGAAAATAATTTCTCCCCTTCAAATATAATAGCTGACCAACGGTCTCCTAAATCGGATATGCATATCAACACAAACAGTTAAAAATTTATTGAATGCGTTGAAAAAAAAAGAGATGTTAGGCAAAGTCTATCAAAATTTTGGGTAAAGTTAAGACTCACTTCATACATGTCACCTTTAGAAAAATCTAGTAATGGTCGAACAAGCAGTATTCCACGATTGCTGTAACCGCTCCATGAATGGCTTACAGCTGAAGAAAACAACTGTGAAACAGATGGCATGCCAGCAAGTCCAAAGACCCCACTATTACGTGATAGTCTCAAAATAAACAACTCAGCCTGCATCCATAGGCATTGATAGAAGAGAATACAATTACACTAAGTGATAGAAATTAACAGAACATAACGGTTAAAAATGAGTACCACTCAGCTCCTAACATCAAAGTCTGATGTGAAAAAATAGTACTATAAATCTAGAGTCTTAAAAGAGATCAATTTCAAACTGAAAAGTGTGCTAATTTTTAAAAGGGAAAATTACATAGCACCCAATTCTTATGATTTTACCTATCTCACACCCAAAGCTTTATTTTCAGACATAGCACTTTAACTATGGATGAAAAGATGGATTTGACTATTAAAAGATAATAATGAATGCTATTTTTCATACGATATTTGTAATAATGAATGTTTTGGTGTGAGACAAGTAAATAATAAAGTTTTGGGTGCTATGTATGTAAAAGCCCCTTTTTAAAAATACAAGAAACAAAGAGAACCGAGTAAACTTATAATTCTGGAAAGTAGAAACCAATGAAGCGCATGTATGTATTTTTGTGCAAGCATATATATAAATTTGTATAAAAAGAAGACATCGGAACACTGGTTGCTAATGCGATGCAGTATCTTCCCACCGGGTTCTGTACTGTAGCTGTAACCAAAGCCTACCTATTTCCTGGAGTTTCAAGCGGTAGCAATGTTTCCCGGTTTGGTTCCTTATAAACCACCGTAAAGTCCTTGCGTACTACTATCATACTCTGTAGCTGGAGTCAGTCATTGCCTCTGTATTTGACTCCCAGTTGTCGTTGATCTAGGATCCTACGTTCCATATATGTAAGGTGTTTTGCGGTCTGCAGGGGATTGCTATGAACTTTTTCCTGAAATCAAAACTTGAAGGGTTTACAAAAGTTGGGGGAGCTTGACAAGCTACATTCTTTTATTTCTTTTATAAATAGAGTATTTAAGGGATGTTATTGCATTGATTAGCTAAATAAAATTTTAGATTTCTCTCAAATTTGTATATTGTTTGATGTGAATTCTTCAGACATGTTGCAAACGTTAATGAGAATTTCAAAAGAAAAGATTTCCCCTTGTATTAGTGTGAGGCACAAATCTTTTCTGATTATATCTTCATTCTCATACATTTATAATTGAAATTTTGTCAAGGCAACCGTGATTTAGTTTTCCTTTTTGCCGTGTAGTCCTTTATTGTTGTGGTATCCTTTTTCTTCCTTTTTTTGTGAATTTTTTTTAAATTTTGACAATATTTAAATTATAATTTGGAGTGAGAGCATATTTTTTTGTGCATCACATTTTTGAATTAAAAATTTTCAGCCTTTAAAACCTCCTGCACCTTAAAGTCGGCCACCCTAAACTACATCATCGAGGTCAACCTCTTCAATCTGGTCCAACTTGAAATAGAAGTGTAATAGCACAGTAAAGCATGCACATTATCTAGAATGCACATTATCCTTTTTAAAAAGGTGCTATGTATGTAAAAGCCCCTTTTTAAAAATACAAGAAACAAAGAGAACCGAGTAAACTTATAATTCTGGAAAGTAGAAACCAATGAAGCGCATGTATGTATTTTTGTGCAAGCATATATATAAATTTGTATAAAAAGAAGACATCGGAACACTGGTTGCTAATGCGATGCAGTATCTTCCCACCGGGTTCTGTACTGTAGCTGTAACCAAAGCCTACCTATTTCCTGGAGTTTCAAGCGGTAGCAATGTTTCCCGGTTTGGTTCCTTATAAACCACCGTAAAGTCCTTGCGTACTACTATCATACTCTGTAGCTGGAGTCAGTCATTGCCTCTGTATTTGACTCCCAGTTGTCGTTGATCTAGGATCCTACGTTCCATATATGTAAGGTGTTTTGCTGTCTTCAGTTGATTTCTATGAACTTTTTCTGAAAGTCGGTTAAGCTTATAGCTATTATTGCTCATGCTGAATTCAGAATTTATTATTTAGCTGGAATCCAAGATAGCTGAAATCAAAACTTGAAGGGTTTACAAAAGTTGGGGGAGCTTGACAAGCTACATTCTTTTATTTCTTTTATAAATAGAGTATTTAAGGGATGTTATTGCATTGATTAGCTAAATAAAATTTTAGATTTCTCTCAAATTTGTATATTGTTTGATGTGAATTCTTCAGACATGTTGCAAACGTTAATGAGAATTTCAAAAGAAAAGATTTCCCCTTGTATTAGTGTGAGGCACAAATCTTTTCTGATTATATCTTCATTCTCATACATTTATAATTGAAATTTTGTCAAGGCAACCGTGATTTAGTTTTCCTTTTTGCCGTGTAGTCCTTTATTGTTGTGGTATCCTTTTTCTTCCTTTTTTTGTGAAATTTTTTAAAATTTTGACAATATTTAAATTATAATTTGGAGTGAGAGCATATTTTTTTGTGCATCACATTTTTGAATTAAAAATTTTCAGCCTTTAAAACCTCCTGCACCTTAAAGTCGGCCACCCTAAACTACATCATCGAGGTCAACCTCTTCAATCTGGTCCAACTTGAAATAGAAGTGTAATAGCACAGTAAAGCATGCACATTATCTAGAATGCACGAGTCATTATCAACACAGTATGCATCCATAAGAAAAAACAGAAATTCTGACCGTAAATTGATGCATTTCATGATACTAACAAACATGGAATGAATTTTAATTCTGAATGGTTTGTAGATTAGTACTAACAGCAGTGATGAAGCAAAAAATAATCAATTAAAATAGACTGTATCTTCATTCTGAATGAGCAACAGATGAGAACAAAGAGAATGTAAGCTCAACTGAAGCCAGTAGAATTATTCCTTGTGTAAACAAAAAAATAATCAGAGAGGTGGTGTGCCCCTTAAAAATATGAAATATAAATTAATCCCGGTCATACAAACAATGCGGCCAAGATTCCTGCTACTATACCATGCATGTGATGCTTCATTATCTCAAAGAATGGATAGCTTCAAGATTTGTGAAAATCCTTCCATCAAATCCATATATTCAAGCACTAAATCTGAAGCATCAGCCAAAATTTGAAAATCCGCCTCATATCAAAATCAATATCAATTTTAGAGCTATCATGCATCCTGGTTTTTCATGTTTAGATTCATGGATCTTAAGGCTTAAGGGTCTCATCCATCCGCCCATCACTCCAAAGGAAAAAATGGAACAATCCATGTCTAAAAAACAATGTCTCACTTCTCAAGCCTCTAATAAACCAAAGTACCAGAATATCCCTCAGTTAAGGGTATTTATATAGAGCATAAATCTTAGAGATAATGTGTCTCCCCACTGTTTATCTCACCATATATACTAAACTACCTTCCAACCCAACCCTCAGTAAAGGTAATTTTGGACACCCTTGAACCACATTAGTTTTCTAAAATCCACCAGAGAGACTAAACAATAAATTTCTATCCTAAGGTTTAAATCAGACGTACTGACTTGAGCATTCGAGTCACCCAGAGAAACATTCCTCAAAGGAAAACCCACATTTTTCTTTGCATGTGTAAGTACAGGAAGCGAGCAAACACTGCAAACTATACTAAATATTTCTACCAACTTCCAATCATTTACAGCACAAAATAGATTGGTGTCATCCTATGGAAACTAGACCTATGACCACAAATTGGTGCAACCAGAACGGACTGATGTACATCTTCGTGCAAGCATTCATCAACAGGATTTGACCCTCCCTTCTTAGCAGACCCGTAGCCTCCTTTCACTAAAATGGACGGCACTAAATGAAATAAGACCTACAAATCTTATCTAAATCCATGCAAGGAATTCCACAAGAAATTCTTCTCGTATATGATGATAAGAAGATATTCTTCTCATATAAAAAATTTTACAAGAAGAGATAAGGAAAAAGATCAAATAAAATAAGGCCATCAAATCTTATATAAATCTGTGTCATACTCACAAAAAATCATATCATCAAAGTCAAGTCAAATCAAATCAAAATAAAAATATGGATAGATCAATCACTTGAGGAACCAGGCTCCATAATATTAATTATATTTGAGGACACAACCAAGAGACAACGCCAATTGTTGATGTGACTCATATGTTTTAATTAATTAGCTAAACATCAAAGGAGACTACGAATCAAAGACTATTATCTTAATAGAACAGTATAATTGAAACTAGTAGTCCATAATCAGAAGTTAAATAACAAAAACAAGTGTGACAATTGTTTATCCGCAAAGAAAGCTAGGCAAAAGATTAAAAAAGAGTATAATGGGCTAAAAGGGTGAAAGGTAGGAATAAGAAATCCTAGCAGTGAGATGTTCTATCAGCAGCCATGAATTGCATCATTCAGAACTAGCCTCATGATCTCAAACAAGAAAACATAAATAACATTACTAGGCAAATGAATTCTAAATAATAGACCAAAATGATGCAAGACTAATCACTAATAGTATAGAATTGCTTACAAAATAAAAGGAATGAGAAGGCCTTGTTATATAGAACCAAAGCTACACAATTGGAGTCACATAACAGTTAAGTTAGAACTATCACTACCTAGCATGTTAACAACATTACACATATCAATGAAAATCATACCTATAAGGGAAGCTCTATCTTAAAAAACAAGCTATCCAATAAAAGTTATTTATCCTTAAAAGTGATGATGACCTATATATGCAAGCAGACTTGGCCATCTTATGAATGTGCACTGATATTTGGGAGTTTTGTTGTTAGCTGACTCTACTTCGTATCTCATCTAAGAGATAAAAAGAGAATAATTTTTAACTAAAAAGTGGTTAGTGAGAGCCTTAACTTTTAAGAAATTTTTTTTTTCTAAATTTAATTTTAAACTAATGATCAATTTATTAAATTGAAAGAAAAAATTTAACCCAAAAACTTAGTTTAATAGTATGATTGTCAGACAAACCATACATAACAAAAACAAATGAAAAAACATCACAAAAATTTGTAAATAAATTGTTAAGAATAAACAAAAATATTGTGTAATGATAAAATTAAAAAATACTATTGTAGATCGATGCAGATAAGCAATAGTAAAACATAGACATAAAATTAAAAAAAAAATTAGAGACTACATATATAAAAGTCCTAAATCTATACCAAAGTAAACAATCAACAAGGCACAAGCAAATAGGATCCCTCTGCTCCTGATACTTGCCGTCAAATCCATTGCGCATACCTAGTCTGTTTGGTATTATGGTACAAATTGATCATCTTGTGCACTTATAGAATTGCATGGTCTGAGAAATACTCCGGGATTCAGATCAGGACATGTAATCAGTTTGGAAACTTTGATTGCACCTTATTACACATACAAAACTTTTCTAACTAAAAAATGCATCAAAATAAGCAGAGTACTAAATAAATCATCATAGCAAAATAAACTAAAAAAACATATGAGAAAAAATAAAAAAAAAATATTACATCACGGATATTTTATTTAGCAATAATGTCTAAGCTGGTATTTTTAATATATTTGACACATAACTCCTATAGAGAGTCAAGAGCAATGATCATGTATCCCATAGCTGAAAAAGAAAATATCTCTATCATAGTGCAAGAAAATAATCAAACTATATTATGCACTAAGCAGGCAATACACTGATCGTAACTAATCACACAGAGCCCAAGCTATGCATCAAAAAGATCTATTAATAAAACAGCGACCTAACTACACCTAGTCATTTGCTAAACAAATAAAGAGTGTAGCTCATCACAACAGATAAGCCCAAAAACAATACCTAATGTTGGACAGAATCTTCATTAAAATTCCTAGAAAGCATCTATGAAAGAGCAAGCCATAGATGGGCAGGCACATAAACAAAGTTATTGTGTATCCAAAAGTTCCCAAGAGGGCCTATCACCATATAAGCGCTAGGCATGCAATTAAATAGAATATGTGAATATTAACAAACTTGTATATGCTTACGAAGTGCATTAATTGGACAATAAACTGCTAAGAATTCTCCCAGGGAGAGCTGGCAATACCTGATGGAGTAAGATTTATTTCAGAGAGATGCACCACCATTATCATTGGCCTTCTCCCAACTATTTAGGCTCAGCAGTATGAACAATCATTCATTATTTGTTCTAATTAAGTGTTATCTAACGAGTTAAATATATTCTTTGCAAATACTTGGAACAATTTATATCCATCTAACCTTAAGTTCATCCTTTTTAAAATTACATTACACCAATTTTATTCTAATATGCGCATTTTATATCTCTCATTTTACAAGTATAACTGCCTGTGACTACTTTTACTCACCCAATCTTCAAGATATGTTACTCCAAACTTTTCTCTATTATTATTATACATTAATTTATCATATCATTTTATCACACATCTAATTTAACATTATAATTTTTGCCTCACTCTACTTTGATATGAATGGCTTCTTTAAAGCCCACCATGTGGATCAATATAACATTGAAAACTTATAAAATTTACTTTAAATCTCCATAATATCATTCTTATCACACAAAACTCCAAAAGCACAACTTAATTTTAGCCAACAAGGCATGACTCATGGATATATATCCTCATTTATATTATCATTTTCCTATACAATAAATTCAAGATAATTATATTTAAGCCCCAACAATATTCTCTAACAATGCAAAACTCTCAAGACACAACTCCATTATAACTATAAAACTAAATTGTAGAAATTAAATCCCCATTTATATTATCATTCTTGTATATGATTGATCCAAAATACTTAAACATATCACAACAAGAAATAAACTTGTATTTTAATAATATTGAATAAAATCATACCAATTAAAGTTATATATCAAATATACGTCTTTTTATAAGAGCTTTAAGATCATAATTTTCAGAATGTTTTCTCTATTTTTATAATTTTCCACTTATTTCAAATAGAAGGATCACAAGAAAGAATTATATCATCCGCAAAAAATTATGCATCAAGAGATCATCTTTAAATATTAATTATTGGCATATACATGACCAGTACAAAAAAGATAAAAACCCAATGTCAACAATGATATAAATCTGTGAAAACTTGAAACTCTAACGGCACTCCACAAATACTTACAATACCACTCAGTGGTCCAGCACTTTTATCTTTAATAACATCAACAAAACTCTAACACACATCAATTTGTCCTTAAATACACCAAATCAATTCTCATGATATCCAATCATATGCCTTCTTACAATCAATAAAAATTATGAAAAAATATTTTCCTATTTATACTTCTTCATTAATTACCTTAACATAAAAATCCCTTCTAATATAGATTTTCCTTCCAAGAAATAAAATTGATCGTCTAAAATTGATGTAAATTTTCTAAGCTTAGGTTTCCATTATTGCTTCTCATAGCTTCATGATATGACTTATAAGTTTGATTTATTTATATTGGCACAATCTTGAACATCATCTTTGTTCTTAAATAGTGTCAAAATACTTATTTACCAAGTATTTGGAATCCTCTTAATCTTCAAAATTTAACTGAAAATAATTATCAACCAAATCATTATAATATCCCCCGTACATATATGGGGCTTGCTCGCACCATGAGCCATAGAATATGGGTCACAAAATTAAACCAATGAACCAAGCCCAAGGCCCAACCATCCTACTCCAAAATCAAACCTACTAATTAGATGGGCTAGGATGTAGGCCCAAAGCCATGAAACAACAAACCATAAGCATAAAAATCCTGGCCAATTTAATAAATTTTATGTAAGTAAAGTTTCAAATATAGAAGGTAGTTGAGCATAAAATTAAGATTCCTATAAATAAAGGCAAGTCATAATTACCTCAAAATATCATTAGCAGAAGCTTAATATCAAAGGAAAACTCCAAAATATCTCAATTCGCAATCATTAGAAGATAAGTATGTTGATATCCTGGAAGTGCTTGTGAATTTAGAAGATCGAGCCAAGACATCAAATCAAAATGATTCATAACCTATATAATAAGCCGCCTTGAAGGCCTATTATATGAAACGAGACTTAAAATTAATAAGGCAATTAATACATGACTATACAAAAGTATCAATTATTTTGAATCATCAAAATAGTAGCACCATGATCCATACTTCTACAATCTCCACGCAATAAGAGTAAAGTCCAACACCAATCGTGAAGCATCAACAAAAATTCTATTGCCCATCTCAAATCGCACGTAACACTAATTCTATAGCATTCTATAATCTTATGCTGCTCTCCGGTGACACAAATCTTAAAGCCTACGAGATGTAACCATCCATATGATACTCCCAAGAGCAGAATAGTTAAGAATTAATTAGAAAAACATGATTTCTCTCTCTACAACCCTCTGATTGTCTAGAGGACCAGAATACTCTTTAACAAAAAGTATTTCATTGCATATCTCGAAGATGAACTGTCTCCTTCCAAAAGTACTAAACAACCCTTCATCCTCTCCACTATAAATAACCATCTCCGATGAAAGTCAAAGATGGTTATACAAACCCTTGAAAACTATATCATTTTTTGAAATCCCCTGAATAAGACTAAGTAGTTTCTTTCTTTCCAGAGCTTCCAAACTTGCATACTATCTTGAACATTAAAGCATCTTCTCAGTGAAACATTCCTCGGAACAGACTCATCATTTCTTTCAATGTTAGCGTGCACGAAATGAGTGATTGCTTTATTTGGCACACCCAAAAGATCTCCACCAACTTCCAAACGATAGAATTTACACCATCACCATCATCAACATCATTAACCTTACCTCAACTATCTGTTGTCGAATTTGTGGATCGTTATTTTTCCATCATCCTTACTTCGTCCTATATAAGGTGGTAACTCTATTATAATAAGCCTCAATTCAATACATTTTCAGTAAAGTGCTCATGTCCAATGTAGAAGTTCGGCTATCAAAAAGTTAATTAAATCTTAAAGATATGTGATGTATTCATAGCTAGTTAGGTCTAAAAACGTTCAAATTTGAAAAAAAAAAAAACATGAGATATATGGATAAATAACAGAAGAATAGAAACAATATGATGGTTGGTCATGCATGATACAAACAAATATACAAGCTACAACAATCCTGTTAAAAACTAGTTCACTTAAACCTGGTCATCAGCATGATGGCCGACAAGCAATACCCCAATCTGCCGCTCAACACAAATAGCCTGGAAATTTTGATACCTGGAATTAATTAAATATCAGATTTTACAAATTCTTCATAAATAGAAAAATGATATATGGGTTCAGCATCATAAAGCCAAATAAAAAGAGTAGATGTTATAGGTTAAGGATGACCAAAAAGTTTAAAACAAGGGAAATGTCATCAAAACACTAAAAAAGTAAGAACTAATAGTGAATAGCACGTCAGAACTTGATCATGATTACATGAATGTCATCTATAAAAATACAGTAGGTTAGAACACATGGAAGCATTGACAAATAGAAATATGGTGTAGCTCATGCAAAATGAGTGCTTGGCCCCAAATCTGCACATTGTAAGGATCCAAAATTAACAACAAAAACAAAAAATTACAACCATCCCACCGTCACTAACCCTCAAAAGCTACTCTGTATTCATACTCCCCTAGCACAGAAACAAATGATTAAAATGGTTTTAAAGAACGAACAATATTACATAATCTAAAAAGAGGGAAAAGAGTGAGCATCGAGAAAATCAACAAGTCACTTAAAACAAAATGTGTAGAGCTCCAAACACAATGTTTCCGTTAAAATGAAATATACTTCTTGAGGAAGTAGAGCACGAGTTCTCATTTTCTTCCTCCAAAAGTAGATACATTAATAAAGACTTAAAGAAACCGAATGACCAATTAATACTTCAAGCAAGCAAATAGAACAATAAGGATCATCATAGAATATTTCCTGATTTAATTTCAAGCTAAAACGCACCTCATCTCTCTAGCAGCCCCCTGCAAACCACCAACCTTTGGCCTTCCCTTAGGCCAATTGCAACAAGAAATCTCGCATCTAATGTCTACAACAACAAATCCCATTGAGTTCAGCAAAAACAAAGGGCCTATCTGGCAACATATGCGATTTAAATCATTTGGATTTAGTAAATACCGTAAATCCAGATTTACTAAATCCTGAATAGGTTAAATCCATAAAACTATATGACAAAGGATTTACTAAATCTGGTAAATCCAGTAAAACTGTTTGGCAAGTTATATCAGGATTTAAGAAGCAATTATGACTGTTGGAGCGCAAAAAGATGAACATCTCCTTAAAATTTTCAATAACAGTCAATTACTTTTACCGAATTACCTTTCCAAAATTTCAGAAAAAAAACGAGCTTAAATTACCTTTCCCTAATCCTCAGCTAAACAAAAGCAGGTTTAGAAATTTTAGCATTTAGCAGCAAGCAAAGCGAAACTAACCAACTCATAAGAATTTTCGGTAACAACCAATTCACACCCTGTAAACATCAAAACTAACCCAATAATTTAATTCAATTTGCAATAACTACAAAATAACCTAATATCTGGAGGAAGCATTGAACAAACCAAATACTCTACCATCAATAAGCATTTTCTAGCTGTATAAACTGCAAAATTCATAGTGAAGTTTAACAGAAAAGGTAAAAAACATATAACAGGGGCATCCACATATCTCAAAAATAAAAATGTTGATGGGGTCATTCAAACGTTCTCTGGCAAAGACACTGATGCGGCGTTTACCACGCAAAAGCATAGGTAGTCCAAGCTGCTATGTCAACACACCATAAAAGTAGGGATCCCCAAAACACTTTGGAGAACGATATTGTCACCCACGAAGTATAATATAAGCATCACCTTAAAATTTCAGACGGGACATTGAGGAGTGCGAAAGAAAGTAAATATCAATTAACTTGATGGTAGGATCCGGAAAACAAACATTGCAAAGGTTACCACGCAAAAGCAGAGGCAATCCAAGCTACCCCGCCATGGGAAGCAAAAAAGAAGAGATCCCAAAAAAAAAAAAAGAATAGAGTAGATATCCAATATTGCAGCGGTTACCATGCAAAAGCTTATGTCGTCCAAACTTCTCCACCACGAGATCATAAAAGCCGAGATCCCCAGCTGATATTACAACTCATATGTTCTCCTCTTGCTGAAAAATAGGAGTTGGAGATGTAAAACAGATGTATGTACAAGTAAAAAATCAATTAACATAAAACTCAAGAATTGAATGAGTGTGTGTCAACTTGCAAAGAAAAGTACATGAAGGCTCAAATATATGTTTCTCCAAGAACGAACAATCTCGAGGACATAGCAAAGTAAGGTTCCAGAACAAGATAAATAAATATTGCAGGAATAAAATATATTCATGAAAAAAACAATACAACATGACCCCATCAACATACTAAAGAACTAAAATCAGTAAAGATCTGTGCAGAATATAATGTTTAACACATTACAATATCAACAAACCACATCAGCACTACGAAGTGAGAAAAATCCACATAAATAACACTGTAAAACAACTTCATATCTAACCATTAGTGTAATTCATCAACAGAATATAATACCCAAAACATACATTGATATCCATGAATGTGCATACAAATACCTCCATTTATTGCTCATGAAAGTTGTTAAGCCTCCTTAAATGTTAAGAGAAATGTCTCCTTCGTCAACAATAAGTTTGTAGTATTTGTCAACTATTTACAAAGAGTGCTGAAAGAACTCACACAATTGTCCATAGAAATGTGAATGTGTTCTCAGAAAAATTCAAAATTGTTCTATAACAATAATATTTCTCGTATCACTTAATAGATTGTGATTTACCTAAATATCTCTCAGCTAGGTGAAAGCTTCTTGTGAGAGACAAAAACAGTTATAACAACGTATGGGATGTCCAACAAAAATATCTATAACATATTGATGCCCTCTGTATACCCTATCAATCATCAGTCTTAGAATGACCTCAACATCATCGAATGAACTATTATCTATTACTCTTGGCAATAGCTCATTAAGGGCATTAGCTACGAATGAGATTTTACATATTATCTGATAATATTCCACGAGAATAATTAGGCATATTTGTGATATTTAAGTAAATTTTTAGTACAAAATGCGACCTAAAAATAATAATTTATTAAGCGTTAAATAACAATGGTTACAATAAAAGCAGCACTACCTGAATAATAGAATGGACAAAATAAAACTACAAGGATAACCAAGGGTATGAAATACATACATAAATAAAAAAAATACTAAAACAGTAATGCTAGTGGGTTATTGAGACTTCGACACTGAACACCTAAGATGCAGTTAAAACGCATAGTCGACGACCTTCAAATCCAAACCGAATATGAATAATAACAGGATGTTTGGCTAGAATATGCTCAACCCAACGTCGAAGTTGAGGGCCTTGGTTATCTTATGAACATACTTTACCATTCTCATGTTCGTTGAGCGCATCCAAAACGACGAGTGTGACTTCTTCTGATATGTTAGTTATACTTCTTATCTTTGCAAGAAAGTCATTCATTGACACCGAGACATTCTGATCGAAAGCGTCCTTCAAAGCTGCAACAGTCTCCACCTGCGCAGAGAGTAATTTATTGAATGTCTTCTGATTGACTCTTTTTTTAGATCGTCTTGACACCGGAACCTTCTCTTCGTAGTGTCGTTGGTTCCAACATTACGTGAGTCCGTCTATTGATATGTCATTGAGTAATCAACTATGGTCTGCACAAGGGTTGTTGGCATGTTTATATCCTCGATAAAATTAATACCATTTGAAGCTATGAATTCACCTTCGAATATGTATTCAATTGGCGTGGTTACCGTCTCACCAATAGATTTTCTCAAATCTCGCTTAACAGTTGAATTCGCCCATATGTCAACAACAATATTCTCAGTATAAATCTTCTCAAATATGTTATATTGGTGAAATGGATTTTGTCTAAAACAACTTAACTTTGAATTTTCTTGAAATTCAATGAATTTTAATTAAATCGTGCAAGCATAATTACTTAAGTGTAATAAATTCGAAAGTTATTTTTATCTTACCTGTAAGAATTCATCTCATAGATCATCGATTGCTACCGATAAATGTAACTCTTCATCCCACCCCCAACTGTTTTTATTTGACAGTTATACACAATTTTGAAATCAGCTTTCAAATTTTTGAACTTTGTCATCACCACTGGTATGGAATATAAAGTGTTTAATCTTCTATTAAGTATTTTGATGCAATCACTAGATAAACTCTTTTTTAGCAGGCCAGAAAAAATATTTCCACAGAGAAATTGCTCTATGAGTAACTCACCTAGAACAACATTATGTTGTTTTGACCACTTTGGTGTATGAGATGAATTCTTAAGTTCTCCGAACTGTATCGGTGAATCTTCATCAAGCGTAGGTCATGTGCTACCGCTGCCACGATGCAGTGAACCCTCTGACACAAATTTCTTCATTTTTATGATTAAAACGCTGCATCGTTTATGTAACTATGGAAATAAGTTGTGTTTTGCTCATTAACATGTATGCCAGATTAAATTCAAATAGTATATTAAATCCAAAAGGCAACCATTTAATGGTATATATTTGTGTTCTCCCACTAATACCATTAAAGAATATTTGATCATAGCAGTCATGCACATACAAGCAGCCATCATAAAGAAATATATTCATAGCATGCAATTCAACATCCTATATAAAACATACATAAATACATGAGTAATTAGCAACATTCATGACGATATGACTAATAAATAAAATAATATCTCAATCAGAATAACACATACACAAATATCATCAACTACAAATACATTTGAGAATAAACAAATTATTATAGTTTAAAAATACAATTAATCACCTCGTTGATGCTTAATTCAGTAAGATATTACCCCCACATAGACTCGTCTAAAATTGAATGCCTGAAATAAACATGGTATTCATATTTATTATGTTATTAAAATTTTAGTAAATTGTCTCATTTAATTTGGGAGCGCTCTGGCGTCGGTGTCGACATCGGCGCCCTAGGGGTCCACCGCACCGATGGCGTTTGATTCTTCCTTTGGCTTCAGAATCGATTTAGTCTTTTTGGGCGACCTCTTCTGTTGTCTGATCGCCGTCTTCTTCGCTTTTATCCGCGGATTTCGCGCGTCTCTCTCGTCACTACCGCAAAGCCCTTTCTGCGCATGGAATCGGCTTCAACTCGCTCTCTTTCTACTCGACAGCTCCGGATTGAGCTTGCACTCGCATCCTCCTTGCACGCAAGTAAGCTCGTCCTCCCTGCACGTACGTGAGCTACGATTGCAGTCCAGACTCAATCCCTGTAGCTTGCCGCTGTTCAACTCTCTGTTCCATGGCTTCTGCTCCTCAACCACTGACTACTTCAGTTTTAAACCATGAAAATGCTTCTTTTGTTGATATGGTTGGCTCTATGGGATCAGATCAGGTTTTCCCTCAGGTTTATCATGAATTATTCAAAGTTCAGGAGGACTGTAACCTTATCAAGAAGACGTGTAGGAAGAGTGGCAAACTAGCTCTATTCTTCTCTGATGTTGAAGTTTCCAACATGGTTGACAAGTGCAAATCTCATTCAAATTCACCCTCATTGGGAAGTTCCAATCGGGACATCCTAAAATTGAAATCATTCAAAAGGCTTTTGAAGATCTCAAACTATTGGGAATTTGGAAGGTTGGCATCTTTGTTTGGAGACATGTGATGATACAATTATCTAAAGTGGAAGACTATGCTAAAATATTTTTCAAAAAGTTTATGACAATAGATGGGAAATATATGAAATTGTTTAAGTGGTCTCTTGAATTTGACCCTAGCCAAGAGCCACCTATAGTTCCAATCTGGTTTAAACTACCTGACCTAAAGTTGCACTACTTCAATCACCAAGTCCTATATTCTATTAAAGTTGCACTAGAGAGACTTATGAAATTGAAATTAGATACACCCACCTCTAACCAGGTATTTTGTTGCAAGAATTCTTGTTGAAAGGGATATCACTCTCCCTGATGTGGATGAA